TAGTTTGCTCTTGTTTCCATTGATGTAGGCCACAACCCAGAGTTGAAATAAAATATGTGATTATAGGCCACAGCTGTTCTCAAGTTGGAAGAAATGTTTGTAAACTTGGCAGCTGCTTGAGGATCTGCAAGTGGAGGAAAGAGAAGCAACTCTACTTGAGTAGATTGCTTAAACATCATGGAGGGATTATTCCTTCACATGTTTCTGATGTCTCTCTAGGATCAGTTAACACCAAATTACTCTATGGCATCCTTGTATCTTGCCATATGCCTGCAAACCACTTCCTCCTCTTATTTCAAAATCACTTTCTTTTCAGAGAAATTGAGTCTGGTTATGGCAAAATCACTGTACTACTTGTTGCCACTATGAGGGAATGTATCTGACAATTAGGTTACCTACTTTGCACTTGCATAGTTATGTCTGTTCAATGGTCTAAGGATCTACATGTAGTATAGATACAGTTTAGTCACAGTCCATATGCATAATGTTCAATAATTACATGGGGTAGTGATGCTGAGCATAGCCCAGGCAAGGCAGATATTGGATAATATGAAACAAATTAAGCTACAGGTGCATGTGATGAGCATGTAATGGAAGGTGAAAGAAAGTCCTTTGTGGCTATGGAGGGATCCCTAACCTGGAGCTGACATGATTTGATAAATCTGTGTGACAATGGAAGACACCTTTGCTTGAATCTAGAAATGACATGATTCTGCTGATTCATACAAGCTAATAAAGAAACCTATCTCAGTATGACTATGCTTCCTCACCTCCGCCTCTAACTTTTTTTATTACTGTGGATGAGGCAGTTGGAGCCAATGGAAGTATCTTTATGGTTACTCACCCTAGTAATCTGTCTGCAGCAGCTGAGACTTGCCTGTGCTCGAAATTCCCTCATGATATTTTCTTCACCTATTGGGTCTGGACAAATGGTGTGGCCCATGTAAGCCTTGCTTTGAGACCCTAGGAAAGACAGAAGTAGTGCTTAGGTCTTGCTGTGTACCCTTTTTATATTCTGCTCAGAACCTTCTGAATTTGCCTATAAAACTTATATTAATTACTTAAGGAATTAAAAATGGAGTATTCAGAGTGTGATTTGCCTAGGGGTATAGCCTCATAATCTTCAGTATTCAATATTTTAGAAACTTCCCAAGCCAAACTGCTGTGTTTGTTAATGCACTTCCTCAGTGATATAAATACATAATATAATATGCTAATTCATTTTTCAATATTTATATTAATAAAAATATAAATGTTATAAATAAACTCAAGCTTTTGTCCATAAAAACTATTGGACAAGAGAGCAATAGGCCATCCCCAAAGTGTGTAATTACTCCATCAAAGCCAGAAAGCCTGGGTTAAGCCAAAGGGAAGCTCTATTAGAAGCTGTACCCTGTTCCTGTTCTTAACAGTAGTGTCTCCTGCCTTTGCTGTTACTTCCCTGCTCCTTGGAGGCTTGTTCTATGTTACCTTCCTATTCTGGAGCAGGAGTTTCTCCAGAAAGGGATAGCATTCAAAGCTCAGATAACCATAAAATAGATGAGTGACAATAGAAATGCATGGGAGGAACATCTGTGTGTGATTTACAAGTCACCACCAGAATCTCATTGTGCTGAAGCTGGGCCCACAGCCAGCCTGTGCAGATAGTGTTATCTTTATCCCTCTGAGGGGCACAAGCAGGTTTGGCCTTGGTGCTAGGAATGCAAAATAAGGTTTTCTTCTCCAGGGCTTAATGCCAACTGCTGCAGCCTACCTATTTTCACAGTGGGAAGCCTCGATCCTGCAGTCCAGTACAGTTGCAGAACGTGTCTGCTCCACAGCTATTTCACTGGCCTGTGCTCTCTGCTATTTCTTTATTATATTTACACATGCCTTGCAAATTAAAAATGAGATTTTGAATGCAGTGACTATCATTTCATGTTTGTTCATGCAGAGTGACCCAGGCAGGGAATAAATGAGGCATTACTATAATTCAAGTAAGTAGCCATAGACTAATGATTGAAAAGCTAAAAATGGCATTTGCACTGTACAAACATGTAGCTTCAATGTTTGTAGTATGTACCAGTCCACTCTTCCTCAGCAGCGTATAGTTCCCTGTGACTGACAGCAGTGCACAGAAAAGTCCTCTGGTTACTTCAGATCACAGCTTGCCAAATCTAGGCTCTTTCGACAAATATTTTTACAAGCAACAGTGAGCTAATGAACATGCCTGTTTTCCCACTGACCCTGCTGGAGAGGTTTGGTTCAAGTTCACTGTCTGTACAGCACACAGGATGAATTTAAGCAGGATTGGATTTCTGCTGGATAAGAAAAGAACAGCACACCCTTGAGCCTGGAAAGGGACAAGTACGCAGGAAAATCTGCTGCCTACCTTCTGAGCTTAATTGCTGAAGTTGTAACCACCCCAGCAAGCACAGCTCTTGAACAAGATTATTTCAGGCCCCTGTGATTTCTTCTTTGGCCGACTGCTCTGTCTTTCTCTAATTGAGACTTTCTTTGGCTTTATAAAGTGTTTTCCAGGATAAATGCACTGGCAGAGCCTGTTACTCCACAAGTTGAGGAGAGAGAAGCAATCTCTTTTACTAAACCAACTGACCTAAAAGGGGTGGGGGGGGGATGAGGAGAGGGAACGGACACCCTTTCGGGTAAACCAGCGCTTTCATAGGTGTTAGCAGCGTGCCGAGCGCAACGCTCTGAGTTTAACTTGATTAAGTTAACCTGTTTGACAGCTGGATTGAAGAGGCGCTTATTCTGTGATTCAGTTCGACGTCAGGAGGCTGCTTTTGCCAGGGTAGTTCAAGAAAGATGCTTAGTGAAGTAAACTGTGATGGCAACAGAACTTTTTCCAGTGAGCAGCATCCTCGCTGGGGTTTGGCAGCGGGCTCTGCCAGTTAAGGGTGCAAGCTGCTGGTTCCTTTTCCATCCCTACCTGTCACAGCTATTTTGGCACTGTTACGAAGCACACCAGCACTGATGCTTTTTGATTTCCTACCCTCTTCCCCTGCTCGTCCTGGCAGGTTACACAGTTGACTTTGTGAAAGCAAGTGTTTTGACATAGGCAACACGATGGGTTGTCTTGCTTTCATTTTTTTTTTTGCTGAACCTGTCCTTAGCCTGCCTGGGTTTTCTGCCTTGTGAGGGACAAAGGGACTAGCTTGGGTTAATGGGGAGTCAGTGGAAGTGGCAGAAGTAGGAGCTCTCCTAGTCTGTAGCCTGGTGGAGTCAGTGGTAGTTCCCTAGATGACTCTGAACATTAAGCCTGTCTTTACAGTCCAGGTTGCTTCTGCACAATTTTTTGCTTAGGAGGGGACTGGTGAAGGTGGTGGTGGTGGGTGCTTGGAGCTTGCTACTGCTAAAACTCATGTTTGTAGGAGAGTCAAGAGGACAAAATTGGATTACTTTACTTAGTAAATGAATAATTAATAAATGAATAAGAAATCTTTTTCTCCTCCTGGGATGTCATTGGAGGCAAGTTACTAATTGCATCTGGGAAGAAGAGCAACCTTGGAGTTTAAGACTAAATTGGATAAAGCCCTGAACAATGTGATCTTAATTCACTGTTGATAGTGCTTCAAGTGGGAGGTTGGATTAGAAACCTCATGAAGCCCTGTCCAACCTGAATGGCTGTTTATGAACACTGTATATCAAACTTATTTACTGATGCAAAGATTAATTTATTCAGCTCTACCAAGAGTTGCTATTTCATGGAAAAAGAGCAAGAGAAAAAGTTTTTTAACCCTATTCCTCTACTTTGTAAAGAAAAGATGCAAATTGTTCTTCTACCTGTGCTGCATGCTGTGCTGTGGAACAGCACTTGCTTCAAGTAATATTGACCTCTTTGAGCAAATGATTTCCTAAAAAATCATATTTGCTATTTGATGGGTTTTCTATCTCATTAGGGAGCCATTCAAATACAGCAGATCTGATTTTTAGCACTAGCTGCATTAGAAATTCCAGACTAAGTGGTTTATGAAGGTTCAGTTAGCCAGAAATGTAATTATAAAAGTATCTAATAACTTTAATTTGCATATATAGTACAGATACTTTCCAGATACTGTCTTTTATTAACCTCTAAGTGCCAATTATACCTACAAAATAAATAAGGCCAGGTTTTGTCATTCTGTCTGACATTGACTAGAACCTTGCCCTAGGAATATATCCTTTTAAGTCTGCCGGATTACTTATGTGGGAAAACAAACAAACAAAAAAAGAAACACAAATAAGAAGTGAGAGTGGCAGAATTAGGCCTGAATTTATCTGCCTGTGTAGGTAGTCCTTGTGTACTCACAGGCAACTTTACTCGGAAATATATGCATCAATTCGGGCATTTTCTAACTTGCTGCCCCATGTTTCTCCCTTGGTAATCAATCTCGTGCCTATCTCTGCCGGAAAGTCCATCGGTGCTGGATTCCTGCATGCTGCCTGGAGGCCAGCAATAGGAGCTCTGAACTTGCAAACCCATTTGCAGAGCTCTGCCGGAAACATGCTCTGGATCTTTAGAGAAAATAGCTGTCAATTGTGAGAAGCGTCTGTTGACAAGATATAACCGGAACGGTTTTCAAGGTGTATATTTTAGCCTAAAGGGAGCGCATACGGGAAAAAACCGCTCTGGTAGGAAGTTGGCCACCCCAGATTCCAAGTCCCCGTGCCTTGAAATGTGGCAACGGGAGAGTTTTTCAGTGAAATGTTTCTACGATTGAAATCCTTTTGTTTAAAAAGGATAGGCCCCTGGTTTTGTTCTTAGAAAAAGGTTGTCTCCTTCTGGACGATGCTTACAAAAAGGAGAAAAAAAAAAAAAATCAGCCGGAGGTAGACACTTGGATGGAAAGCTTGAAATGAACTAGTTTAAATACCGCCAAGTTACAGGTGACTGAGAGCAACATCATTATAGGGAGGAATATAAGTTGGCCTCAACTCCCAGAAAATGATAAATGTGCCATGTATAATCCGCAGAATAGCATTGCATTTCGTACAATGTATATTATGCATTGGTGTTTTAGGGTGATGAAGGACTTCAAGGCTTTCCTGGGTTGAAAGGTGAAAAAGGAGAAAAGGTAAGTCTGAGTCTTTATTAATTACAGTGTCAAAGCTCAAAAGTTTATAAAGGTACTGTGGAAGCCTGTGGAATCAGGCCGTTCTGCAAGTTATATTCTGCTTTTACCTCTGTATTTCTTGGTCTGTGGTAGCAAGATGTTAAGAAAAGGAGACTACACTTGTGCTGATTATCTGCAAAGTAAAATTGTTGAACCTGTTGGCCAATCTCTGTCATGTTTGACAGATGTGTGGAGATCTCAAGGGCATGAACCTTATAAAAATCTGAAACAAGGTATAAGAAAGGTCAGTGCGAACGTCTCTACCAGCGGAAACGTTGGAAATGTTTCTGTATGAGACGTGGAGGGTCAAAGGTTATCGTGGTGTTTCTTGCATCAAACATAAATAACTTGCGGAACGAGATGGCCTTTGGCTGCTTGCTGTGGCAGCCTCTTTTAGAAAAACATTATCCCACACCAGGCTTGCTGCACAGGCTCATAGGCTTTGGGCGTGATTGTCAGAAATGCCTTAAATCTCATTCGTAGGAGAGATTTTAGGAATTTAGATGTTGTATGCCTCTTGTAAAATAGCAAGCTCAGGATTTCAAGGCAAAAACCCTCACCAAGTAATACACAGCTAATCGGTTTAATCGGAGCTTAGAGTTGCAGTTTGTCTGTGTCTGCTTCTCATTTGTGTGTATGTGGAGTTTTTTGGGTTTTTTTTTGTAACTGCAGTTAAAAAGAAACTGCTGCAGTGCCTACAACTAAAAACATTCGGGCCGGTTCTTCTCCACATACGTTTGTTTGCATATTCTGTGTCTATTCACTTTCCGTTCTCTGTCCGTCCTTTAAATTGCCAGCTGCATGCAGCAAAGCTTGGCTTTCTTGTGCTTTGGTGCAGTCCTCGTCATCCTCGTGGTGCTGCCAACCTGAATGTATTTGTTCCCATTCATTCTAGGGCATAGACAGGTTAAAAAGGAAAAAAAAAAAAGCAGTTCATGGTTTTGTTTGTTTGGTTTTCTTATAGCTTTGTGCATTCAGACCTCTGAGATTGGCTTCCTGGTGGGTAGAGCCATTCGTAAGGGCTGCTTGGGTTCTCAGGGCTTCTTTTCTGTTTGCCTTTAGGGTAATTACTAATGTGTATTATAGCTGTGCCTAGTGGCTTCTGAGGTTTGGGACAGATGTTGTAAAAACATGTAGTTTAAAAAAAAAAAGTATTTAGTGATGAGACAAAACAGGAGACTTTTCAAAACAATGGAATTGTGCAGAGAAAGGCTGAGAGGAGATAATATTAAGCTGATTCCAAGGTGACAGGTCTAATTAGCTGCAAAGCTTTTATATTAATTTATTTTTAAATGAGTTAAGTGACTAAGAGTGTCTAGTTCCTCATTAGCAGCTCGTCAATTGGCCGTAGCATGTTAATGTCAGCAGCAACTCCTCCAGAGACTGTAAATAATAAATGTTTGTGTGGAAATGATTCTCCTCGTTCCTTTCTCTTGTCTCATTGTATTACTCGTATATTTGTGCTTGGAGCTGATATTAATATTATGCTGATGACAATGCTGTTGTTGTTACAGGGGTCCCTTGGCTCACCTGGCCCCCCTGGGAAGGATGGAGCAAAAGGAGAAACCGTAAGCCTTTTTGTTCTTTCCCTGTAATCCTTTCTTTTCAGTGTAAGCCAGGCAGTGGAAATCAATCTGTATTGAGTGGAACATGTCTTGGGGATTTGTATGGCCATTTTAGGAGCAGCAGAAACAAATGGCAGGAGGTTAATAACGCCAGCGTTCTCCCTCGCACGTTTGCGGTGGCTGCGGACGTCGTATGGATTAGCCATCTTGAGAGGCTCCTGGGGCAGGGCTATCGCGATTTATTGAGTCAAGAAGAGGGGGCAGGCTAGCAGCCCGTGGTTTGGGACCCGCTGCTGTGGCCTGAGGTTTGGGACAGATGTTGTAAAAACATGTAGTTTAAAAAAAAAAAGTATTTAGTGATGAGACAAAACAGGAGACTTTTCAAAACAATGGAATTGTGCAGAGAAAGGCTGAGAGGAGATAATATTAAGCTGATTCCAAGGTGACAGGTCTAATTAGCTGCAAAGCTTTTATATTAATTTATTTTTAAATGAGTTAAGTGACTAAGAGTGTCTAGTTCCTCATTAGCAGCTCGTCAATTGGCCGTAGCATGTTAATGTCAGCAGCAACTCCTCCAGAGACTGTAAATAATAAACGTTTGTGTGGAAATGATTCTCCTCGTTCCTTTCTCTTGTCTCATTGTATTACTCGTATATTTGTGCTTGGAGCTGATATTAATATTATGCTGATGACAATGCTGTTGTTGTTACAGGGGTCCCTTGGCTCACCTGGCCCCCCTGGGAAGGATGGAGCAAAAGGAGAAACCGTAAGCCTTTTTGTTCTTTCCCTGTAATCCTTTCTTTTCAGTGTAAGCCAGGCAGTGGAAATCAATCTGTATTGAGTGGAACATGTCTTGGGGATTTGTATGGCCATTTTAGGAGCAGCAGAAACAAATGGCAGGAGGTTAATAACGCCAGCGTTCTCCCTCGCACGTTTGCGGTGGCTGCGGACGTCGTATGGATTAGCCATCTTGAGAGGCTCCTGGGGCAGGGCTATCGCGATTTATTGAGTCAAGAAGAGGGGGCAGGCTAGCAGCCCGTGGTTTGGGACCCGCTGCTCTGGCTGTGTTGGTTAATAACTGCAGCCGCAAAGCGTGGCCGTTTGTTTCGGGTCTGGCAAACAGTTATTGGCCGGTGGAGATGGTAGGGGCTGGATATACGGGGCCATCTTGTGCTTACAGGAGCAAATGGGCGAGGGTGAGAAAAACAGGCATCCCGGACACAGAAGCAGAGGCCTTAACTCCCCTTGTACACTGTTTAAAATACTCAGAGCACAGGAAGAGGTGCAGGCTTAGCTCAAAGGAAGATGAAGCAAACCAGATATTGCCTTTAACAGAATTTCAGCTGAGGCAGAAAAACACAGACACGTTTTCCAGCACCTCATCTAAGTTCGTTTTAGGGTTTTCCTCCTTTCCGCTGCGCACGATCACTAGCGCTCATACGCCTTCCTGTTGAACTGTCTTAATCCTGATGGTCTGTTCTTCTAAATTCTTTGCTTTTGCCTGCTCCCTTCTTGCCTTAGCTGTTCTTGGGGAACAACCTCATCATCTCTCTCACTCTTCCTTCTTGGCAGCCATTTGGTGGTGGCTGGAAGAACTTTGGGAAAGAATTCTTTGCAAGGGCAGGCACACGCGAGAGTAATGACACACAGCAGAAAATTTCCAAATTTTCTGTCGCTGTCATCTTGTGTCTGCTTTTTGCCACGCTTGACCCTTGTCCCACTTATGCAGAGTGCTCCCAGTTCTGGAGGGATGAAGACATTCCCAGGTAGCTTCCAGAACTGGTGCAACTTCATCACATCACACGTGGCATGATCTGGGATCTGACATAACTGGGATACAGCGACCTAATATCGTGACTTGCAGAATTTCTTATATGACGTGCTTATTGCACTGAAAGGTTACTATTTGAGATCGAATTCATTACATTATCTCCAAGGCATCAGTAGATGTTAGCTATAGTTGGTACAAGCTGTTCACTAGTTGGGGAACAAATTTCTTACTACTGAGGTTGCTGTATTTGAAGAGCAGATGAGTATTTACTTCCGTGTTCTGTTTATCTCTTTCTGCTTTTTCCATAGAAAGCACACTGCAAATTTTCAGATTTCTGGATAATAGTACTCAGGATTGTAGATGTCGGAGAGAGCTTTCATTTCTAAAGCTGTATGTAATGATTATTTGAGTCCTCCTAATCTGTATAAGACTTGCATTTACCACTGATATTATTGTTAATTATAGGGTGAACCAGGACAGCCAGGAGCATTTGGACTGCCTGGGCCAGCAGGTCCAAAGGTGAGCTTTCCATTTCTACTTTATATGGGCCGGTGTATCTTTTTCACTAACTTTTTGTATGTCTGGCTTTCTTGAGTTATTTTCTGTGACTCTTGACATGCTCACTGGTGAATGAGGAAGCTCTAAATGTTAGTTTCTATCAGAGGGCCTGATAAGACATCAGCACATAGGCAAGGTACGTAAGGAGAAGTGTCTTTTAATCAATCAACGGTATAGACGGCGAAAGAGAAGGGGGCGTGTTTTGGGGCATATAAACCTTTCTTTGTGTCTTCAGTAAGCCCTCCCAACTCTCTCAGAGATGCAGTAGAATTATTGTCCCTAGTCTACAGGTGGAAAAATAAAATCACTGGATTTTTATGCTTCTACCTGTTTTGGGAGCTTCAGTTTGCACCAGTAGACAGTAACATAGTAGTAAAGAACTTGCGCTATCTGTTATATCACTGGGTTTGCTTCAAAAGAGATGCTCATAAATTGGGATTTGGTGACATTTAGCTGAACACATGCCTAAATCTGGAAGCCTTTGTCATGGGCAATTCTTTATTCTCCTTTCAGAATTTCAGCTCTTCCTTGCCTTGTTCCCTGATAATTTGAAGGGTGAACTAACCATCAATTGAAACTGGTTTCAGTTTCATCTTTATAACCTGGAAAGAAGATGGTGCCTCAGACTGAGAATATATTTCAGTGGCATCATGCACAGCAAGTTCACAAAGGCCTATGAAAGCCACTGCAAGAACAGCATACTGATTGCCTGAATTTATTTACTTCACCCACTTCTGCTCCCATATGCGCAAAGGGACAGTCTTCCGAAAGGTCTTAAAACCCCAAAATCCACTGCCCTACTAGGGGCTGTATTGCCTTCAGCAGCATGAAGAGGTTCAATGTGGAAGTTGCAGGGCAGCATGTTTAGCAGCAGGTGAATGACAGCTGTAAAGTAGGGCTGGGCTGACATGAGAGGGAGTGCTCTGAATATTGTTTTGCCCACTGGTGGGAGTCAGGAGCAGATGCAATTAGTTGGATTCATCAGCCAGAAACGCTGGTCAGCTGAATCTCTTTTATCACATAATACATAAATACATGCTTTCTCTCTGTGCTGCATGTTTTCAAAGAGTGGCATTATAAGCCAGTAGGCTGTATGATACCTCTGTCTCCTGGCGATGTGAAGTTCCTTGCCCTTGCTTGACAAGCTTTCACAAACCAATTTAAACTACATTTACCTATGTAGGGCATGATCCTGCAAAACGCTCCATGTTTCCCACTTAGATTGTCAGACATCTCTAAAACAGAGTGTATAGATCAATGAAGTATTGAGGCATTGTTGATAAATCACTGTCCAGCACTATGGGCTGGGCAGGATAGGTGCTTGATATGACTGAGCATTAGACACAGCCTGACTAGACAATGCCAAGTGTTCAGTGAAGAGCTCTGCTAGTCTCAGCCCCTCAGCTACAGTGGCTAAATATAAAACAGTCATTTGCTTTCACAGTGACTTTTATTTATTTTAACGGGCACACTGGCTGCATGCAATGTCCTTGAGCTGGATTCTGGACTGAGCTATTTTAAGAAACAATTCCGGTTTTGCTGACAGGGCTTTAAAATATAAAATATGGGTCGGCACACTCCTTTACCCCCAGCGTAAAACCCAGCTACCTCACTGGTGTGGAACAGCTTGCACTAAGATGGGTGGGGTTGGCGATCGGAAAGGTCACATCCCCAGTTGCTGCTGTAATGATTGTTTTTTGTCAGATCACTTATCCTTATTTAAAATAGTCAGCAGCAATACAGTGACTTTGAAACCTTGAGGTCCTACCCCAGGCTCCACGGAGAGCTAACTTGCAGTTTCTCTGATCGGTTGGGATGTGGTTCTTCCCGGCTCAATCCATCTTCATTTGCATTGAGCCAGGCAAGAGCAGTGCATGCTCAGTGGTTCAAGGGCTGTCTGCGCACTTCAGGAAATTGAGCCAACTGCTTAACTACTTGGCTAAGGGATTTCCAATCTTTCGCCTCAGTGGCAACTGTCGGCGTGTTTTTTTTTAAGGAGGTGCCAAGCAGTTTTTATGGGCTTCATCAACTGTGTGGTGAAGCTTCCAGTAGAACAACCATGGACACTACAGACTTCTGGTAGTAGCTCTTTAATCCCCAGAGGTACCCTAAATGGATGATAAGTGAGGGTTACAGTATGAAATGTCCTCGGCATCCCATCTCTAGTTTTGCTGCTTGTGCCGCTCAGTGAAATCTCCAGCGGAGACTGTTCCCAGCTCAATGTTTTCAATGTAAAATTGTTTTTTTTTTTTCCTCATCAAACTCTGTGGGTAAATTTCAGTGGTCACCAAGAAGGAAGTCTGATCTTTCTAGCTACGAGACCATATAAGCAAAGAGCAGCTGTCGAACTAGCCTTGTGCTATTCAAGGTCAGGCCTTCTGATTACAGAAGATCCTGCAGTGATCTGAGATGGCAAGAAATTTCCACTGGTCAATGGAGAAGGCTCCCGCATAAATATGTGAGGCCTGACAGGTTAATTTTGATGAAGTAAATGGCCCAGAAAAAAAGGCTTTATTGCAGGTCCTTCACTGTATGGTTAACTTAACAGTTAAAGCTTGAATTTTTGAGACCAAACCCTGGAGTCTGTACAATCCTGCAGCTGATATGCAACCTTTTTTTTCTTTGTTCTGCATCTTTAATAAAAGGTTAAAGAGATTTTTAGTGGCTGTTATTGCTCTGGCACTGAACTGACAGAGATATCTGTACTTGATACAAAAAACAGAGAAAGGGAAAAATTTAAGCCTTTGAAATATAAAGTGTTAGGGTAAGGCTTTCATTTTGACAAATATCCTTATTCCCGTTCGCTTGAGCTGTAGAAGGTCTCATGCTTTACTGGTTTACCAGACATGATCTCAACGCAGGCCTTGAGTGGGATCAGCAAGTCTTCTCATCCAGACAAATCCAGTTTTTCTATCTATAACTTTTGCTGACTTTTATAAGCATGTTTTATATAACGGTATGAGTTGGACTTTGCTGATTTGGACAACTTGAAGCAGGCTTCTATTTCTGTAGGAGTTTTAACTAGACTGTGATAGCGTTATTTTCCTGCAGGCTGGAGGCAGAGATTAAGTGTGTGCCCGCTCTTCTCTGTCTGCCATTGGAGGACTTGCACTGTTTCCTCAGGTACCTAAGGGTGCAGAGACCCCAGAGCAGCCTGTGTTGTCTGTATGTAAACCCACCTCTGATTTGTGTTACTGAGCTTGTGAATCACCCCGTGAGTTTGTGGCACTGTTTGCTTCCATGCTTAGCGGTGGTTCGGCCACTTTACAATTGTGCTGATAAACTGCTCGTAAGCTTCGGGGCACAATTTCATGTGGCATGTTAGTTTATAAAAAGTAAAATCCTCCCTGGTGGAGAGAGGGGGACAGTTTTAGAATTGCACTGCTTAAAACCGTGATGAAACACTTGCCAATCACAGTCCAGCCAGCCTGCCAGATTTGTGCTTAACGGCCGTTTCAAATGAGATTGTCGTTTGGTCTAAGGCAAATGTAAACAGTGTGCATGACATTACCAACCTCCTGGTCACTTGCGTTTGGACAACAAAGCCCTGTTTCTGCTGAGAGTTCACTGCAAACACACTTTGCATTCTTAATGTTGGGTTTGGGTGTGCTTTTTTTTTTTTTTTTTAATACAAAATATCAGTCAATATGAAACCTCATGATCATTTAAGAATAAAATCTTGGTCTGTTTTTGAAGCCTTATCCATTAGGGCATCCTGATACGGGAATTAACCAGAGAGGGGAAAAAGGAAAGTGATGTAAGTAACAAAATAATCAGTGAAGTAGGTGAACTAACACAGCCCACCAAATTCACGTGGCTACCTTGTCAGGCCCAGGCTGTTTCCACAGGATTAGACGGAGGACTGGTAATGTTCTGCTGAGGATCTAGACCATCTTCATATTGTAGGCATGCAGAAAGAGCTCTCTGCCTTCCAGTTAACCCACTACTGGTGTGGGAGCATCTGTGCATAACCAGCTGAAGGACTGCTGAAACAAATCTGATTTTTCTTGTATTTCACTGATTTGAGTTGAAAATTTGGTCTTTTATGCCATAAATATATTAGGAGAATGTAGTTCTGATCTGTTCCTTTTCACCAATTCTTCAAAATAGCTGGCAACACTTGAAGTCTGTTGTTCGTTTACGCTGTCATGTGGCATTTGCCACATTGAATTTGAAGCAGCGTATGCCTGTGTTTTATTCCACTAATGCCATGTTCAGGAGGTAAGACCAAGCCCAGTATGCACAACAGGCAGGGAAATGGCAAAGGAATGCAGCTATTGACATTACCAAAACTTCTGAAACAACCTTTACAGGAACTTGTACGTGTCAGTTTACCTTTATAGGGCAAGGCTGAAAGCAGAATGGTAAAACTATAATGAACTTGACATAACCACTGATGCCTGAGCACTGGGAACACAGGAAAGTGTTTGGGTGTCGCTTTGGGTAAGTAGCTGGAAAGTTGGACAACGTTTTGTGTAGTAGCACTAAGACAGTCAAGAAGCCTCAACAGCCTGCTGTGAGTCAAGGAGGTGCAAGTTTCATTTCTGACTGATTTATTTTATTCTTTTACATGAAACAGTTTCTATTGTTTTACTTTATGTAAATTCCTTACCAGGGGTCTGAAGGAAAACAGGGTCCTCCAGGAATTAAAGGCTACGTAGGAGCACCGGTAAGTCATGACTCTTATTACATTTTGGCAGTCCGGAAACTTTCTCAATTTTTTCAATGAGTCTGCTCACCTCTCTGACTTATTAAGTGGTGTAGGTTATGTCTCACCACTTATCTCTACTATGTTCAAATACTGACGTTTTCCTGGCTTCACTGAGTTTTTTCCGACTTCTTTAAATGAGAACAGACCTCTCACCAGTAGAGAACTGTCTGTAGAAATTACTTGATTACCAAGATAACAACTGAGGATTTTGTGATGTTCCCACTGTAATGCAATTGCTGTGGTTTATGTTGATGCACCATTTGAAGGTTGCTTGAAAGTTTCATCATAACACCAAGCAAAAATGGCACCTCTCAGCAGGTTTCCAGTCGTGTTTTCAAAACTGTCAGGGTATAGCACTTTGAGCTCAGAAGACCATCCTACCTTTAATAAACAGACAGCGAGGCCAAAATAAATTGGATGGCTATCCAGTTAGCATCTCTGTCTTGTGGTCTCATCTTGGTCATAATGGAGGCAACCTTTAAGTTGGTGTTGTAAAGGCTGGTTGGATTTACTGAGGCTTAATGACCTGACTGTACACCAGTGCACTTCAGCGGCATACCAGACATGCTCGTGCGCTGAAAGATTTCCCTGTGCTGGCCAAGTTCTTGCTTTACAACTTACTACGAAGAGACCCAAAATTTTCAAAACAGCTTGTGCACTTTTGTCTTTGTCCAGGTGCGTGCTGTTTAGCTTAGTCTAAGGCTGAATTGTATTAGGCCTGAAGGATTTGAAATGGATAAGGGGATGGCATTACCTGCCATGCGATAGAGTCTTGTCGTATTAATGAGAAAAATGGACAAAGCTATGAGAATACTTCCTTCCTGTTCCTTGAGTCACTCTTCTGTGTGAGAAGTAAAGCACTCAGTACAGCATTTGTGGTGCGCTGTTGCCGAGCCCCTTATTCATTTCTGTCATCAGACTGGCATTTAGCTTGGGTTGCTGGTGAGTAGCAAGGCTGTAATCATCTGCTCGGTGTACATGAGGGCCCCATAGTTTTTAGTGCATTACAGGGGTCATATTTTAAACCTCTTCGCATCCACTTTCTGGAAGTGGTGAGATTATTGCTTTGCGGTATGGGAAGTGGTACAGGCTAGGTTTAGGCCATTAGTGATGGACAGAGCTGTGCAGAGTTTGCTCCCCATCATTCGTGGCTTAAAAATCTGACTATCTTAACAGTTAACTAAATCATCCTGTGGACCAAATAAGCCCAGACAGGTAGTCATCATTAGCTCGGAAGTGAACCTCCACAGTAGTGTAAAGCAGACTACAGTTTAAAATACAAATGTGCTAGAATAGGAAATGTTTATGTTGTGGCAGTTTTGGGGAGCTTGCTATCGACTGAGCATGTTTGTCTGATTATAGTCATTAGCTAGTTGCTCAGTTGCTACAATAAAGGTAAAGTACAAGGTATTTCCTGCACCAAGGGAAGGTGAAATCCATGCCTGCTCATTGAGTTAATTGCCCGTGCTATTCTTCAAACTAAACCCCAGCAAATGGGTCTGGTTTGCCTGGAAAGAATTGAATTACACATTTCTCTGAACTCTGGCATTTGATTCACAGTTCAGAAATGAATTTGGGCTCCCAGGACAGGCATTATTCAGTGTTTGTGACTTCTCAGAGGTACTTATTGTCTGCCTAGCTACCATATTCAAACCCACCACACACACACATTCTTTCTTCTTGCTCATGCAATAGATTTTTCCGTTGATTTTGTCTTCTACCTAAGTTCCCATTGTTTATAAGCACATGAAAAATACGGAGCAGTGGGTGGTTTCCAGAATGTCTGCTGCTGTGGTGTGTTCCCTATCCTTCCTCATTGCTGCTGGTGGGAGGGACGTTTGTCTGGTGGCGATATAGTATTACAGATGTTCCTGGGCCCACAGGTCACCCCCGCTCTGAGAGTCTGCTTAGACAATGTTTGTGGCTGAGTTTGAGGACTGGCAGCAATGAAAAAGTCCTCAAGGTTAGCTTGAATAGATTGTGCAGACACGACCAGTGATTTGGTGACTAAACCAGCTCCTCCTTAGATGAGCTGACTATGTTTTCTTCTTGGATTAAGTTTTGTAATCTCTTCTGCTGTTATTTCTAGGGTCTACAAGGAGAAAGAGGAGAAAAGGGAACGCGAGGAGACAAGGTATTACTATGACTGGCCGCGTGCTGGGAAAAGCCAGGCTGCTCTTCCTCTTCACCCTTGGCTCTTTAGGTGGGGAGAGCTGCCAGGCTTTGGAGATGGATGATGGGGAGTCTCTGCACTACATTGAGCTTCCCAGTGCTGTGGGGAGTGACCTCCCAGAGGAGGTGCAGATCTGCTGTCTGCTGTGCACATCCTCAACGACTATCTTTTGTGTATAGCTGGGCATGGAGGAGAGAAAAGGAGGATGGAGTGAAGGGATGTCACTGGGGACAACTAGCAGAGTGTTCACACAGCGCACACCACTTGGGAGCTTTCAGTGACCGCTGACCGCTTCTGGACACAGCCTTTCCCCCAACCCACTATCAGTCTCTCACAATATCCAGCTTCTTACATTCCTGTCTTCTCCCATCACTGTAACTCAGTTTTGAATCAGTATCAGGCACTTTATCTGTTAAAGGCTTCACAGAACTGGTGCTGCTCCCCAGTTTTCTGCTCTCTTTTGTCTGGGAATACCTTCTCTGTAGCACAGGACTCTGATTTGATATCAGAACACAGGTGGTTTTGGAACTGCTGGATTAATCAAGTAGTAGTTTGATAGTTTTCTGCCACCCAGAATGACCACAGAAACCACAGCCCTGTACTGAGCGAGAGGAAAGCTGCCTATGGTATTGATAGCATGGAAAGTATCCTCAATCCAATCCAGGCAGCAAAGGCAGCCTTAAGCCTTTAGTGGAAGTTAAAGCAGGCTGTGACTGTTCCAGTTTACAAACCCCTGACAGTGTTTTTGTGCAACAGATAGAAATCACTGAGCGTGATTTTACAGGAAAGAGGCTAAGTGCCTATTATGCTTGGAATAAGGTTTGAAAAGAGAGCTGGGCAGGTACAAATCCTTTCATTACCTCAGTTTGCTCATTGCGTTCAGAGAGATCTCAGATGTGCCTGCACTTCTGATGCAGACCTTCTGACGTTTCCCAGAAATGCCTGCAAAAATACTTTTTGCTGCCCTCACAAGGAGAAATGGGCGCTGGCTTGGTCCTGTCCTGGCAAGCTGAGGGAGATAGGGCAGAGGTATTCTCTCTGCCTATACAGAGGTGCCCCTTTTCTTGCTTGGGCAAAACAGGTAGTAGAGCATACCCTGCCAGCTCTAAGTAATTTGCCGTGCCAACCAATGGCCTATCTTACTGATGTCCCAAACCAGTTCTGAGACAGGACTGTCTCAGTGCTGACCTGGCAGTTGTGCCTGCGTTGAAGCTGCCTTTAGCGATATCTTGCTATATGTGTTTGTGCAGAGGAGGAAGTTATTAGCTTGCTAACTCGGTCTTTCTCCAGAAGGAGATGGAGAGTGAGAAGAGACCCTGAGGTTTACACCCAGCTTGAACTTACTGGACCAAATGATCAATACATCCTTAGTGTGAGATATAGCATTTTGCTTCACTGTGTGTTGGGGTACCTGTTCCCATCATCTGCTTTGTTGTTTATGATAAAGTAGCCGTGACTGAGTTTCGTATTAGCTCTTCTCACCACTGTGCTAAGTGCTGGATTTTACTTTATCTTCCTCAGGCCTCTGCCTCAGCCCTTTGTGGGACTAGTTCAATGTATTGTGTCTAGCCAGTACCTCAGCTGCTTTTCCTGAGGCAAGGTTGTCTAATCTGCTAGAATATTTGGCTCCCGGAAGAAAATGCATCTTTCTGACATCACCGCGATGGGAGAGGAAGTTGGAGCAGTGAGTGGGCAGACAGCTGACTAAGCTAGACAAAGATTAAAGTATGAAAGAAATGAATTGGGTTTTGTTTCATGATCAGGTTGTACAAAATGTAGTCTCTCCTCTCTTTTTTCTTTTTTTTTTCTCCTTTTTTTCCTGGAACAGCTATATGAGCTGAGATCTCTGCTACAACAATTGCTCTTTGATTTACTGGGCCTTCATGCTGTTCTCACAACGTTCACTGCCATTGCTTTAATTTCTACCAGTCGGGACTACTGTGAAAACAGTGGGCGTTAATGCGGCGGGCCAAATATTTCCTTTTCTGCTCTTCAGTCTGTAACTTGAATACTGACACCTACGCAACCCGTGTTTCAATCTGCCTAAGGGAAAAAGGGCTTCTTATATCTAGCCTGTGCACGGAAACTAATCTATTGGACTAGCACCCTAGTATGACAGAAGACAGAGTATCCTGTAATGCATCTTGCTGTTATATTCGTATACGCTGGGACCTCAAATGACAATGTAGAAGTTTTCTAGTGAGGTTCCCAGGTCTAGTATTACCCGTTATGACTGCACTTTAGGAAAACCACTGCACAGTATGAATGATGGCTATCTCGTGTCCTTTGTCACATCCAGTAGGCTCTCTGTAGACCACCTAAACTTCTCACAGGTAAGTGTGCCCTGACTGCCCTGCTACCAAAAGCTGTATAGCAAAGACCTTGATTGTGATACTTGCCGCATCAGTTTGGGCATGTGCAGCAGTTCAACGTGTCATGGTGCACTGATTTTACTATATAAGCACATTACTGTGTAAGCCAGTAAATGCTTGTCAGCTCCTAAGCTGTATTTGAGAAGGCACGCAAGAAGGCGACTGGCCTGGACTGCTGCCAGGTCTGTCTGTGCACTGTGTCCACCATGCCAGGGTCCCACAGACTCCTGGGGAATAGTGTTTTCAACAAATTGTTACACCTTCTAACTAGTAGAAATCGAAAACAGCACTGAAATTTGTGCATAATTGGGATTTCCCTCAGTTGCTTACAACTCCTGACCGTTTTGTTCCATGGCCGAAAGCAGGAAAAACATTAGAGCGCAGAGGAACAGAATCTTGAAATGAACATTTTAGAATAAAACTCTTCTATTGTGTTTTTTTTTGTTTTGTTTTGTTTTAGAAAAATACATTGCTTTCCCTAAATGGCCTTTTTCAAAGAATGAAAAAAAAAAAAATTAAAATGACAGATTTTTCTGAAGAAGCAACTAGAAGCATAATTCATTTTGGAGCATTTTCAAACAGCTCTGGTGTATACAATTGTATAAATAATACATTTGCCTTTCCCAGCCCCCATTAATAGCAGTAAGAATATTGCCTCTTATTCTCTTTTGGCAGCTAAATCCACATGTGTGAAGTACTCATTGCTGCAGCATATTGATGTTAAAAAGTTCTCTGGAGAATACAGTGGTCATTTTGTCAGCAATTCACCAGACTGCCTACTGAAAGTCTCAAATTGAGGAAACTCACAGTTCAGTCAGACACTGCAAATGTTCTTTTGAGCAATGGTTTTCACAGTTATAAGGAGAATAGATTAGAATGTCCATCACTGGTTTTCTAGTATTTTCTGTGGGTTATAGGTGCCTTAATTCCATTCCTTGGATGCATCATTTTGAAATAACATTTTTGTTTTAAGATGGATTGACTTTTTAAAGGAGGCAAAAGAAAAAATCATTTGATTTGCGGATCGTTTTCTGACTTGCTGAATCAATGTATTTTTTCCAAAGGAGGTAATTAAATCTAAGGCTGTAAGTATTGGTGTGCAGATAATAACTGAGGTCTGAAGTTGGTACTGTGGGTTATTAATCAGAAGTAAAATGGCTGAAACTTTTAAAAATAGAGTGAAACTAACATTTTACTGTCTTGTAGAACACTTATAGAATTGGTTTTTACATGTACATCTGTGTTAGCATTATCAATGTGTATTTAATTGTTTGTATTCAGTAGTATGTGCAGGCTGAAAGCAAAATCAGTGTTCCGTTTTAGAGGTTTAAGAGCTTACACAGTAAGAGAAAATCCCTATTCCAAAGAGCTTTAAGTTAGAGGCTAGAAAGGCAAGGGCCGCAGGCCAGATAGAAAAGTAGACTTCTGCAGGAAGATGTCATTGATCTGCTCATCATTGTTATTACGAACCTGGATGATAAAATACTGGCTATGGTTATTCAGTTTGAGTATGAGACAAAGCTGGGAGGGACTTGGAAGTACAGCAGAGGTCAGGGTCAGAATTCAAAATGATCCTGAAAACAATCCCCTAAAGCATAAGATGGCGTTGAGAAGGGGAAACTGCAAGATGCTGCATGTGTGCAGGAAACTAATTGCACATTGGTGCAGAATGAGAACAGCTGATTAAAGTAGTCGTTCTGCAGAAAGGGGCTGGGGCTTTATGGTAAGGCAGATATCATCCTGGGATTTAAACAGAAGTGTAGTTTGTAAGGCACGAATTAATCTTTCTGCTTAGAGTTAGTGAGGCCTCAGCTGTGTCCGGTTTGCGAACCAAACTACAGTGAAGATGTGGAAAAATTGGAAAGTTCCCAAATGAGAGCAGCAAAAATGATCAGAAGTCTAAAAAAACGTGACCCGTGAAGAAAAGTAGAAAGAACTGAGGTTGTTTAGTCTAGGGAAGTTTGAAGGGGGAGTTTTGCAAGTCCTGAAATACATAAAAGGCTATAGTAAAGATGAAGAGAACGGTCTGTTCTCTGTGTCCAGGGGGTTAGGGTTTTTGGAAAGAAATACTAGTCTGAAACTGCAGCAAGAAGTCAGATTTAGATGAAGAAATATCCACGGGTTGGAAAAATAATGCTTTAGAATAGATTGTCTGTAGAGCTTGGGGACTCTCCCGCTTTGAAGATATATAAGAATGGATTAATTGATTCCCTCAGGTAAAGGGAAAGCAAAGGTGAAAAATCAAAGGTCTTTGTTAACTGGGTAAAAATGAGCTATTGCTGGAGTGTGGCTTCATTATTTTTGTAGAGCTCTTTTCAGTGTAGTGTTCTCATTGTGCACTTTGTCCAGCTTACGTGAACCCACTTCAGCAGGCGGTTGGGGGGGGGGTTGCCCACGTAGAAAACCACCACACCAGTGTGTCTGGACTCTGAATTCGCATCCCAACTATTTGATGCTAAATTTTCTAGATAGACAAGCTCTAAGAGCTACCGAAGTTAGAGAGGATAAATACTTCCTGCCGACTAAACTCAGTTCGTCTCCTTGTTACTAGACACTCTTAAGCTTTTCTTTTTTTTTTTTTTGGTACAGAGGTGAACTTCTTACGTGCAGAACAGTACCTTAGCCATTTTCACTGTTGGGCTGACTTGAATTGCTCTTCTTTTGCCCTTTCCCTTGGAGCAGAGAGCATGGGTGTCTCTTGCAGCATGGTGACCTAAACGCATTGTATTTGAGTTATAGTGGTTCTTTCTGTTCCTACTTTAGGGAGAACAAGGCCTAGATGGGTTCCCTGGAAAGCCGGGTGCGGAGGGGAAACAGGTACGTGGCAAATACTCTGTGACCAGAGGCTTTTCTTTGAAATGAGTGGAAGCTGACTCTAAAATTGAGACTTATCCCAGCTAGCTGCTGCGTCATGAAAGGACCCCATTTTACTGGTGTTTTTTGGACTCCTTATTTTAAGGATCTGTGTTTGCACGTTTTTTAAAATTGAGATTTGTGTTGTAATATAACACGTATACATGTAAAGGAAATACAAATGCCTTAACCATAATAGGAAAGATGCTTGTCTTAATTTCCGTTAAAGACATATGCAAACACACCTAAAAATTCAGTTGTGTGAGCCTGACTTTTGTAAAAGTGATTTTTCCTGTCACAAAATGAAAGAAGAACAGAATTACATGTTTCGTTTGTTTTCAGTAAGAAAGATTTTGAACTATTAGTGTTTCGCAGCCAAGATGACGCCAGAAAGATGGTCTCTCTTGTTCTTCTGATTGTTTGTAAGAGACCAGCAAGCTTCTGCTGATTAGCTAAATAACACTTTATCTGCCTGTCGGAAAGCTACTATCCTTAGATCCCGTAAGACTGTTTTCATTACTCTAGGAACTACACCTAATGAGAGGCATCACTCCCAAAGACCTATTTAGACCTGGTCTAAATAGCAAAGGGTGGAGTAAGAAGCAGAGGCTAAAAAGTGATGTGACTTAACCAAAAGTCGTGCAGCTCATCATTGCCAGCCTTGAGCCTGAAGCCTATAATTCCAGACTCCTATGTTTGCTAGCCCTTGCTGTTTCCCTCTTTGGAAAGGCCTGTTTGGAGGTGTGCTTTTGAGTCTGCAAACGTGGAGGAGGCATGCTGCCTCCTTGGGACAAGTTGTCTCCAGTTTTTCAATTCAGCTGCTCGCGCGGACGAAGCAGAGGGCTGCCTGGGTCTAAGCCGAACGTGTCCGCAAAGCGCGACAGCCGTGTACTGCCCAAACGCCGCCTTCTCTTTTGGCAGCCAGGGTTTCGATTTGATTTTACTGGGAAGTAATTTTGCTTCCATATCAGATGTATCTGCTCTATTTAGATGGCAAGTTATATATAGTGTCATTAGCAGTCTTAGTCTTTGTTAAAGGTACGCCTTCCTCTCTGGGAGGTGGTGTAGGTTCCAGTGCGCTAAATTTTGTTCTGCTTCTCCGTGGGAGATTTGACAGTTAACCGTCGCTTTCTGTCTCCTCTGCTCCTCAGCCATGTACCCTATGCCATGAACTATTTTTTCTAGTTAGTGTTTATCACTGTCCTTATAAGATGGAAACGTTTTCCTCTGTTGGATACAGCACTGGAATCTCAATGAACTATGTACGCTGTGCCCATTACATTGTTTACAGGACTAGTTTATTCTTGCAGTAAGTGTGGATGAAGTGAGAAATTGCAGAGGGATGCGAAGGTGGATGCTGATTGTTTACTACTTCTAAGAAACAATTTCTCCGAGTGACACTCCATTATAGAAGCTGGGTTATTCTGAAGTTTTTCTGCCTTTTTCATGTCTAGCAGAGAGCGAATCTTCATGCCTGAATTTTATCCTAGATTTTGTCTTTGACGCTGATGTACTCCCTGAACTACAGCCCTTCTCAACTGGCTGAAATTGCATTGCTGCTGTTGTGCCTGTTGTGGCATTGCCATCCTTATCCCCCTTTCTTGCTACAAAGTAGGGCCCAAAGGAGCTGTGTGTGTTATATCAGCTCCTGCCCCAGCGCAATGAGACGTAATCATTTCTGCTGTTGATATCCAAATCTGCAGCCGTATGCTGCACCAGAACTTTGAGGTGAATTCCAGTCGATGACCTGGAGTAGGCAGAACAAAAGTTTTCCCTCTGTCCTTTAACCAAGGCCTTTTGCGCATAAAAGCGTTAATTGCTGCAAATTCTATATTAAGACTTGATTTGTTTTTTGCAAGAATACCAGGATTGCGGGAGACTTGACCAGTTTCCCTGCACAATGGTGTCAGCTCTAAGGAGGCAAATCCTAATGCATGGTTCACCTGTTTGCAGGGCCCTGCTGGCAGCCCAGGCCCTCCAGGTGCCAGTGGGAGCAAAGGAGAAAAGGTGAGCTGGGAAGGGGTGCATGGGAGGGGGTTGGAGACAAGATTATGAATTCCTCCTTGGGCTCCCACTTCTGGAAATGGCAGTCATGTTGGCCTAATATGTCTCTCGTTTGTGTGTATGTGAGGCTTTTATGTATAGAAATGAACTGACTTAGTGATGTTGCTTTAATCTGGAATGGGTATGAGGGAGAGGTACATCAGGCCTGTTTATAGCTCCTCTGTTGTTGGATTTAAACTTGTTGATATGAGTAGAAAGAAGTAGAGAGTAGTTTGGCCCAGAAACTCTTCAGTTAAGAAAGGTGAATAGAAATATCAGCAGGTCAGCAAGAGTTCATGTGGAGGCTGGTTCTCTCACACAGCTGATGTACAACTGACTCTAAAAATGTCAATCAAATGAGAGTCACAGCCCTGCCCTCTTACCTGCCTAATAATTATTCACTGCTGTTGCCAGGCATTTTTACCTTGGTATTTTACAGACAGTTATTAAAGCTTCCAGGGAAGCCTTATCTTCCCCTGCTCCAGCTGATATTGTGGTTTTGATATTTCCTACCTACTTATTTGATGTTAAAGGAAAGATGTGTACAAGTTTGGATTTGCTTTCTCCTTTTCTCCAAGAATGCAGAGATCAGAAGCAAATCACTGTATTTCACTTTACCTTTCCGCTCAAATTCCAGCGGTATAGATGAGGTTTCAAAAGCACCTACAAGCAGGGCACGTTTACTGAGGTGACAAAAGGTAGAAAGATCTCTTTGTGCACTGGGATGTATGAAGTAGAGAGCAGTCGTGAGTCCAAAACGCTTTGTCCCTGTCCCTGAAGTGGCTGCATTTGGCCCTTTGAAAGATGTTTAGCACCTTGTTCCCATTGCTTTTTTGTGTAGCTGACGTTTGTGTCTCTTTAGTTCTTCTGCCATAGCATAGACTCTCAGTAGAATAAATAATAAATAGTAATTAAACTTCTTTCCTTAAGAGAGAGAGCATGAAAGATGCATTAGGTCATTCAGGTTGCTACGTGAGTAAGGAAGAAGTAGAAAGTGTGTGAAAGGAAGCTACATGATAATTTTTGCATCAGTGCACACCTAAAGCAAAGGAGATACCTTCTGGAGGCTTAGTCTTACAGCATAATAAGTAGTGGGCAGTGCTGGAGATGCGTGTGCTACAACGAATTGATAGACTGGAAGGCAATAAATCATGCAGTGTACCTGTAGTATCTCTGTGTCCTGCAATCACTTGCAGCATGACTGTAGTGTAAAACAGCTTGGGGAAAATGGCATCATTTCTTGCTTTTTTTTTTTTTTCCTGCAAGGAATTTTTGCATGTGTGCTTGCTAACAAACAAAAGCATGTTGGCCCCTGACTTTCAGTCCTGCAGATGCTGCTAGGGATCTGAGCATCAAGCAGGTTTCTTTGTGTGATATGTGTACACCAATTATAAGATTTCTGAAGCTCAAATTTAATGTTATGGATCCTACACATCATTCATTTTGATCAAGAAATGCTGTTGAAATCAATGTGTAGCATCAGAGTGAAACAGAAGGCAATCATTTCCTGCATTTATACACCTACAGAATAGAGAAAATTGAGTTAAATGTGATTGCATGTTCGTATCTATTAATTCTGGAATGGTATAGAAAATAAGAATGTATGACAGCAGTTGAAAACTGTATTGGAAGCTTTCTTTGTTGTAATGTCTTTTGTATTTGCTTACAGGGTGAGCCAGGGCTCCCAGGACTGCCAGGCACTTCTGTAAGTTTGTTTGTTTATTTCCTAAACTTTAACAAACATGATGAGCTTTATTGCATGAGAAGAGAAGGTGGACACTGGGGATGAGAGGGGTCTATTAAGTGAGAGATGTTCTTAAATAGATTTTCAAACAAAGTGAAGTTTAAAACAGTGAAGATTTCTGAAGAAGGAATTTCATTTATTCCAACGTGGAGATGCACTTGCCACAATCCTGGGAGATTTTGAAATGTGAAGATTGGGACTTGAAGGGACAAAGGAAGTGTTTACCTAGGGTGTTTCAGAGTGAGCAGTGCCGTGACATGACTCACTGTCTTCCAGGACAGTCGCTGGGCTGATTCCCAGCCAGCTTTGGAAAGTAGAGACTGTGGAAGTTAAAAAAGCAAACGAAAATTCAGAATGGAGTTGAACTACTGAGTCCCTTTATCATGGGTGGGATTTGAAAATTGAGAGGATGGAAGAAAGCAGCTTCTAATCAGGGGAGATCATCTTCCCTGGGTGCCTTGTATCTGGAAAAAGTCATAGTGGAGCATGAGACAATGCAGAGCTGATGTGCTGAAATTAGGAAGGCTGTGATGAAATAGCAAACGGAGAAAATAGGGAGGGCTGCGTTTTTCCTTTGACACAAGTTTTACATGCCTCTGTGCATCCCTCTGCCATCAGCAGAACCTTCAGAGGCCGCAGTGGTGTCGCTAGAAGGGGGATATGGTCATGCAGATCTTAGTATCCTCTGTGTGAAGAGATCTTCTGCAAACGGAAGATGATTTGCTGGAAAGTATATGGCAAGGAGGTCTAGAATTGAGTTCTGCAGTTGGGAACTATCCCTCTTACTTTCCAAAAAAAAGGGTTAAAATTGGAAGACAACAATGTATGGCACTCTTGGTGGAAGGCATTAGAGAGACATTAAGACCGGTAACGTTAACTAGAGCGCTGTGCCAAAGAACTGAGCGAGAAGCTTCTTGGTTATCGTGTGGAAGGCAGCAGGCAGTTTTGTTACTCAGAAAGTGTTAGAAACCAAGCAAGGAGAAAGAGAGAGCTCTCAGAAGGCCTCTTTGGGTAGGAGCATTTTTACTGTCTCTTGTGAAAATAGTGAAGCGGCAGTAGTTGCCAACAGGTTTTGAAAGATACTCATAAAACCTGGAAATGAGCAACGCCTTGTCCTAAAGCGCACTGAAGGTTTCAGAAGGCGAGTGACGAACAGGCTGAAAGACTGACAGCTGTCAGTCTTGTTTACGATGGCTTACGTCGAGGACCCGAAGGAAGGTCTGGATTTTGCGTCATCTCTGAAGTTGGCCTGTTATTTTTATGATGCTTTCTCCATTTAACAGAACTATATTGTTTAAAATAAAGCAAGAGCCAGGGAATTTACCAACTTATTTTTACAGAGGAGGTGATGAATTAAGTTCCTGCTGTTTATACAGCCACACATACATGTTAATCACTTTATGGGCAGCTGGGTGAGCAAGCCTCTAGTCAGTCCGAGCTGTTCAAGTAAGTATGCCGCAGCCTACAATAGGATTTGAGGAGCTGTGGCGGTTAGCATGTATACTGGGGGAATGGGGGGGAGAGAAAGCTAGACTTTGTGGGACAGTCGCATCCTGGCACTTCTGTGTTGTCTTTCCTCTTTTTCTCTTTTGTGACTCTGTGTTCCATTGCAGGTACATACTGAAGGCATAAAAGGAGAGCGGGTAAGAGTGATTCAATATTTATGCTTCAGTTATGAGGATGCTTTTACAGAGTTCAACTGCCTGTTAGGTCAGATTTTGCTTTAAAGTGCTGTTTCAAAATTAAGATTGCAAAGTTTAGGAAGCATTGTCAGGACATCAGGAAGCAAGCTTTCCTACTTACAGTGGAACGAATAAATGGGGAAGGAAAGAGGATAATGTCCTTCCAGTTTGCAGTGAATCTAACATGAATGAAAAGTGTAAATTGGGAAGAGTCAGCTACCTAGAACAATTCTTTAAATCCAGGCAAGTGTTAATGGAAAAGTGAAACTGTATTTGAGTTTTATGCTGTGCTTATCTCCGTACAGGAGTGCTTGAACAAAGAAAGGACACTAGTTCCTCCAATCTCTTAATTCTTATATAAAAAAACCCACGATATGAATACTAACACTTATATTTTGAATTTGTGTGTAATTATATTAAACTAAAACATAAATGATATCTATCATATATGTGATACCTTGAAGCCCTTCACAGCTGGACTGGTCCTGGAGGAGCCAGGACATAATAGCGCAGGAAATACCTGCGGAAGCTGTTTTTTCAAGAGCTACCTTCCCCCTCTTCTCCAGCACTGAATCCCAACCCACAGTGTTTTCCTGGAATAACCAAGATAACCTAGTGCCTTTGGTAGAGTTATTATTACCTTTGAGAAACAAAGAGTCAGTTATGGATAAACGCCTTCTGTGCATGGGTGGATTGAGCTGTATACAGTCTAATAAATGCTGATAACTACAGTAGCCCCAGGATTAAAGAGAAAAACAGCTGGTCTCTGCATTGGCTCTTTGGGACCTATAAGGAAAAGGGTCATATCGGTCCTGTACAGATGACCAGCACAAATGCTGCACCTGCATAATTTTTTATTCAGCTATTGTAACACTTTTCTCTTTATTTTATTTTTTTGTAGGGAGAGCCTGGACCACGAGGACCACAGGGCCAGCCTGGACTTACTGGACCTCCAGTGAGTTGTTTTTCCTCACTACTTACAAATCCCAGAAGCTTAAATTCAAACTAGTCTGAGGGATATATGCAAAGTCTTATGCAGTGTTCAGGCACTAAGGGTTTAGATGAGGCCTTTAACCTACTGTTTTCTTCATGGATCAGAGACTTTGCCTCAAGGCCGTTGTCATGCAGAAGCTGTTTGTTTCCTATTTCTAACTTCATGAGGGGCTGAATGGCATTCAGCGCATCTCAGAGAGAGACACTGGTGACTTGCAGGCCATCATGTAATGAAGTGCAGAGAACAGCTGCTACAAAAGGAATTGGCCTTATTCTACAAGGTCCTCGCTAAAAAATTGCACAGATGAGCAGTAAAAGAGAGGAGTATGTGCGTATGCGTCTCAACGGGAAATATATCACATTTTTTTACAACAATTTAGGCACAGTGACGTTCTTACTTTTGGCTTAATTGCAGCTTCTTCTAGTTATATTTTATAATGCAACCCTATCAGGAAATCTCACTTAAAACTATCACTGATGCCTCGTTTTCACATAGCACGTATGTTCTCAGTTCTCATTTGTTTATTGTATTACACTGTTGATTTGATTGGGTTCTGTTAAATTAATGGCATCATGAAGAGGCATTACAGAGTTAAATCTGGCTTTAATTATGTAATCTAACTACAGTTGCGTACTCTGAATTTCATCAGGGCATTACCACTTTTCTCTATCCTGTTTTCTTATTCTTTTCTGCTCACAGGACATCTTTATCAGGTGGGACCAATCTAGGCAGCCATACATAACAGTAGCACAGAAGGGTTAGGGAGTGGTTATATACTTCATTAGGTTTTCCTGCTCAGTTAATTTACTAAAAATATTTTCACTTTTAAAGGGAGTGGCTGGTCCAGAAGGCAAGCCTGGACTCCCTGGTTTACCAGGTCAAAGGGTGAGTTGAAATTTTTATTTAAAGTAAATCTCAGTAGGTTGTGGACAGCTTTATGCAACAGGGATTGGCACTTTGACCCATTTGACATATACTTTTCGGCTTTATTTTCTATTTATTTAAGCACCCTTCAGGCCTGCATCCTTTCTTCTAGAGCTTCTTTATGGCCCAACAACTCTCAGTATTCCACAGATTTTGCAGTCCCCTGTGGGTTCCTGGAAAAGTTTCTTTCATGGCATTGCCTCTCCTGTCTTTGTGTCTACTCCTCGATGCTGAGAAGGCTGTTGCTCCTCTTCGCTGTGTAGACTCTTTGGATCCATATTAATATTCATGATTCTGTGAGGTCAAAATAATGGATGCCTTATTCCTCACTGGTGTGTATCTTTGAAAGAGATGCTGTTGTCCATGAAAATGGTATCTGGTAGAAATTAATTTAGATAGAAGAGCACATATAAATATCCCTTTGTGCCATATTTCTTGGTAAACGAAATATTTCTCGGTATTTCTTGGAACGTAAAATCCTATAAATCTCCTACCTCCTAAAAGTTATCTATGAACTTGTTGAGTCTTCTAAGCCAGTGCACAAAATCACTTACTTTGACAGGAAAACAGGACTGAAGATTCTTAAGAGTGCATTAATTCTTAAAAATGCAAGAACAGAGTTCAATTTTGTTGCTAGTGGAATTGGTATGTAAACATGAACGAATTTTATCCAGGGTAAGGTAGGACTCTGTATCTAATTGTGTAGAGCCAATAGTAAGATGGACTGATTGAAAGTTCATATAAATGCTGTTGTCCAGCAAGTTAAATAAATGGAAATACAGTTGGAATACATGATGAGGCCATTCTATTTTGTCTGATCTGTGCTCCAGCAGAAGCTCTCAGAAAATACTGCTTTGCCATTCTCCAGAAGGAGCTCAGGTAAGTTGTTATTGTTTAAAGAGGAAAAAAAGGGAGAGGAGGTGGTCTTTGTAGTCTAGAGCTATATCTTAAAACATTCAGGTACTGATCAAATGTAATTTCATAGTGGGTCTGCCCCTATAATGCTTTGAGCCTGCCTTTTCTTGCTGTCCCAATCATTTGAAGAGCATCTTGTTAGACCACAGGTGAAAAGGATGGAGGTGAGATCCATGTTTAACCTTTCTGGAGACAGTCACTTGAGTCTCAGTATGACTGTTAGAGGAGTTACGTTTTTATGTAGTCACAGAGGCTTGGCCATCATCCATAGTGGAGATCGTGGGAGGTGTGAGGGGTGCCTGTAATGCCTTGCACTTGAGTCAGCACAAGTGCCATTAAAGCGTGGATGGGAGAGCTACCTGTGAGTGTGGAAGGGCTATGGGCAAAGGACAATAAAGGGAAGAAATATATTTCTTGGTAGGTGGTTTTCTAGAGGCTTTCAGTTAAGTCACATGGCATTGAATTGAACTGTAAGCTTGGCTTTTAGTGATCTTCTTGGGAAGGTGATACAGAGTCTTGTGTTAACGTCACAGTGGAAAAGGGCATTTGCTTACTTTCTTGTACTTTTCCAGTCTTTGGAAAATATCACCTTGCCTCCTTAACGAATAACTGTGCTGCGCTTTACTTATGAGTTGACAAGTTCTGAATTGTCCTGATTTTAAAGCCTGCTGTGAAACGTTGTTTCCTGAATAAGATTAATACACAGTATTAGCTGGGTAAAGGACAATGATCTGTCAGGGTCTGTGACAGGACACAAAATGCTCCTACTAATGATCATTTGATTACAGATGTCATTTGATACATACTGTGTTTGAACGTTTCCCTAGACTCTGCTGTGTCTAGCTAGTTAGACTTTTCCTAAGGGTCTTTATTAGTCATCAGGCATCTGATGAATGGATTAGATAGTGGTGGATAGATATTTTTTCTTTAATTAAAGGCAATTAGTCAGTGACTGTGAACATCTGAGATGAACAAAGCCCTAGGCTTGGTGGATCTACGTGGATATCCTGCAGAAATGGGAGAGGTAGTAGATTAGCAGATACTACCCATTCACCATTAGTACAGCTCTTGCCAAAATACAGACATAAATCTAGACATTAATTACCATCTCATATAAATTTGGTTGCAAAAAACAAATATTTCTCTAAACATTCTTGAATGTTAAAATACAGGCATAGGAATCCTTTCAAAGCTTGGCTGAATTTTAAATGATTGGGTGTGAGGTTTTGGATTGTATTGAGGTCCACCTATGGGCGGATGATGAGTGAGTCGAGAGCTTATGGGTAAGGATTAAAGGGCAGACTAACGTGGGTGACACTGTTGTGGGTGTTAGCTACAGACAACCTGATCAGGAAGAGGAAGTAGATGAGGCCTTCCACAGACAGCTGGAAGTAGCCTCACAATCACAGGCCCTGATTCTCATGGGGAACGTCAACCACGCTGATATTTGCTGGAGGAAAAACACAGCAAAGCACAAACAATCCAGGAGGTTTCTGGAGATCACTGGTGATAACTTTCTGACGCAGGTGATGGAGGAGCCAAGAGAGAGAAGTGTGCCACTGGACCTTGTACTGGCAAACAAGGAAGGTCTGGTTGGAGGAGATATGAACGTTGGGGGCAGCCTTGGCTGCAATGACTGTGAGATGGTGAAGTTCAGGATCTTGTGAGGAGGGAGCAGGGCAAAAAATTATGATTGCAACCCTGGACTTCAGGAGAGCTAACTTTGGCCTCGTCAGCATCCTACTTGGAAGAATCTCAAGGGATAGGGCCCTAGAAGGAAGAGAGGCCCAAGATAACTGGTTAATATTCAAGGATCACTTCCTCCAGGCTCAAGAGCAGTGCATCCCTATAAGCAAACGTCAAGTAAAGGGGGCAGGAGACCTCCATAGATGACCAAGGAGCTCCTGGCAAAACAGAAGCTTCCAGAGGGGATGGAAGAAGGGACAGACCAGTTGGGAGGAATATAGGGACATTATTTGAGTATGCGGGGATGCGACAAGGAAGGCCAAGGCCCATCTGGAGTTTAATCTGGCCGGGGATGTCAAGGACAGCAAGGCTTCTTCAAATGCATCAATAACAGAAGGAAGACTAGGGAAAATGTGTGCCCACTACTGAATGGAGTGGGTGCCCTGGTGATGAAGGATACATGGAAGAGATACTGAATGCTGCCTTTGCTTCATCTTTACTGCTGAGGCCAGCACTCAAGGATCCCAGACCCTGGAGACAAGAGAGAACGTCTGGAGAAAGGAAGACTTTCTGTTGGTGGAGAAGGATTGGGTTAGGGATTATTTAGGCAAACTTTACACCTACAAGTCCATGGGTCCTGATGGGATGCACCATGAGTGCTGAGGGAGCTGGTGGACGTCATTGCTAGGCCACTCTCCCTCATCTTGGAAAGGTCCTGGACAACAGGAGAGGTGCCTGAGGACTGGAAGAAAGCAAACGTCTCCCCAGTCTTCCAAAAGGCCAAGAAGGAGGACCCAGGAAACTACAGGCCTGTCAGCCTCATCTCCATCCCGGGAAAGGTGATGGAACAGCTCCTCCTGGAGGTCATCACTAAGCACATGGAGGACAAGAAGGTGATCAGGAGTAGTCAGCATGGAGTCACCAAAGGGAAATCATGCTTGACCAGTCTTATAGCCCTCTATGATGGGATGTCTGGCTGGGTAGAGGAGGGGAGAGCAGGGGATGTTGTCTCCCTGGACTTCAGCAAGGCTTTGGACACTGTCTCCCATCACATCCTCCTAGGCAAGCTCAGGAAGTGTGGGCTAGATGAGTGGACGGTGAGGTGGATTGAGAACTGGCTGGATGGCCGAGCTCAGAGGGTTGTGATCAGCAATGCAGAGTCAAGTTGGAGGCCTGTGGCTAGTGGTGTCCCCCAGGGGTCAGTGGTGGGTCCAGTCTTGTTCAACGTATTCACTGATGACTTGGAGGAAGGGACAGAGTGCACCCTCAGCAAGTTTGCTGATGATCCTAAACTGGGGGGAGAGGCTGACACACCAGCAGGCTGTGCTGCCATTCAGAGGGACCTGGACAGGCTGGAGAGGTGGACAGGGAGGAACCTCCTGAAGTTCAAGTGCAGGGTCCTGCACCTAGGCAGGAATAACCCCCTGCACCAGGACAGGCTGGGGGTTGACCTGCTGGAAAGCAGCTTTGCCGAGAAGGACCTGGGAGTCCTGGTGGTCATGTTGTCCATGAGCCAGCAGCGTGGCTTTGTGGCCAAGAAGGCCACTGGTATTCTGGGATGCAGCCTTGCCAGCAGGTGGAGGGAGGTGATCCTGTCCCTCTACTGAGCCCTGGTGAGGCCACATCTGGAGTACTGTGTCCAGTTCTGGGCTCCGCAGTACAAGAGACATCTGGAGTTCCTGGAGCGAGTCCAGCGAAGGGCCACTAAGGGACTGGAGCATCTCTCCTGCGAGGAAAGGCTGAGGGAGCTGAGACTGTTCAGCCTGGAGAGGAGAAGCCTGAAGGGGAGGGGATCTGATCAGTGTATGCATGTATCTGAAAGGAAGGTGTCAAGAGGATGGGGCCAGACTCTTTTCCGTGGTGCCCAGCAACAGGACAAGAGGCAACGGGCACAAACTGAAACACAGGAAGCTCCATCTGAACCTGAGAAAAAACTTCTTGACTGTGAGGGTGACAGAGCACTGGCACAGGTTGCCCAGAGAGGTAGTGGAGTCTCCTTCGCTGGAGATATTCAAAACCCGTCTGGATGTGATCCTGGGCAATATGCTCTAGAGGTCCCTGCTTGAGGAGGGGGCTTGGACTAGATGATCTCCAGAGGTCCCTTCCAACTTCAACCGTTCTGGGAGTCTGTGAAGATGCTTGACATGCCACTTGACCTCCGTATCTGTTGTAACGAGGGGCAGGACTGTACAGTACAAATACACGAACATCCCAAACAACCAGGGCAATGGTGTGAACACAAATTTGTTTAATATTGAGCATGTTCCGTGGCAGTTTTGGATCGGGCCAACTACTTGTCTCCCAGAAATATCTTGGCATGGTATGGGAGACTGTGTCCAGTAGGAAGGATGGGTGAGGCC